CAAACAAATAGAGTGAGTTCAATAAAGCACTGGATGAACTATGTTAGGTTTCTGACCAGACTCATGAAGTGTGTTTCCTCGACAAGAAAGTGAGTGTACAGGCTAAAAATAAGATGCACATAATGAGACGAGCCCAACGGACTTATTGGAAACGTAATAGGTGATGTGTTACTTATCTTTTAGTTATTAGCGATATTTGTTCACACTTAAGGTAAATTAACAACATGGGATTTGCAAATTGGTTCGTTGCGGTCGTTTAGGTTAAGTATCCACCTTGTAACGGAAAGAGAACGATGAAAATCCCTCCTCAGCTTTTTCGTTGGACAATACTGTCATTTATTTGTTTTTTCTCCCTGTCGTGTATTTTAATCTTTGTTCAGATTTCGTTTAACCACACCTTTTCTTCAGACCTCCTTATCTGAGCCTTTATCATGTGGTTTTGATTTAAAACGTATCTTTTGCCACCTAATTTTCTATTGCATGTTGTCGGACTATTGACAGTAGGGTCGTGTTTAATTAAGCTCAAGGTGACGGCGTGGTTCAGTGTGTGACTGTTAACCTTTTGACTGTCTGCTTGGGATGATTGCTGGAATTCCTGCTGATAGGCACTTGATCCCATCTTGTTGTGAATATTTTTTTTGATTCTCAGGTATCAAACCCTTTGGTATTAACTGCTCCTTTTATTGTTTATCGCGCTACTTTGCGTTAGAGAAACCTGTATAGCACAGGATGTGCCGTTTGGTGTGTTTTGTATTTTTGATATAATTTGTTCTGTTTCTTAAATTACAGCCGTTTAAATTGAGCACAGAGTTCGTGTTTTTATATAATTTAATACGAGTATCTCAAAAACGCTTGGTACGCTATACAGAAGAACATAGTCTGGCCTATTTGAATAAATTTTGGTTCGCCAGTCCTGTGTTCAAACCGAATACTGACAGTTCAGTTGCCACCCACATCTTTATCGAGGTCAAAATGTTGTGTGATTGGCTATCTTTCACTGCCAAACCAAAACCAGTGAGAACAAGTGACACAGGAATTCGTTTATTCAACAAATACAGAAATTTTATTCACTAATAAAATTACTAGGAACATTGTCGGTCGCAGCTTTTGTGTTGGATATTTTCATTGACTTCGAACTCCAAAAACGAGCTGCAAATCTTGGACACACTGCTAACTAGGGACAAGGTCACAATATGCAGATGCTGGCGCCTGAAAGTAATATATGGACTTAATCAGATAACATCAGTGCTATCAACATGTCAACTCTCTTGACACAATTGGAGCAGCAAAGCGTTGTATTTCTGGATATTGATGCGCAAGATAAGTATATATAATAGAAGGTCCATGGGAAGCAGTCATAGATAATAATTGTAGGTAGCCATCGCATTACGCCTAGAATCCATATACTTCCATTCGGAATAGATGTTGTCTTGGGTCTAATATTCTTGATAAGCAATACATTAGATGTACCTACCACGAAAAATATAAGGTAAGATTTATTAACACTTTTCATATTGCTATCTAAGATTTAGACGCAGTCAAAGTCAAGACTTATTGAACAGATGATCAAAAGTGGTTATTCAAAGGATTAGACGGTGGACCTATTGTCCTCTACGTGTGAGTCCCTGAGACAAATTTATATAGGGAGTTAGAATTTCTTTCTAATGGATGTGGTATTAGTAATATGTGCGTATTCTTTAACTTCTTGACTTACAGGATGATATCCATATGGCTTAATGATGCCCACATCATACGAAGACGGGACGTTAGCTTATTATTTATGGATCATAAACTGTTTACCATACACTACACTCATATATGATTATAAAGTAAAATTGTTACGTCTCGTTCGGACTTTGTGGTCACTTGTCAAACCGTATAGCTTCGACATGGTGACCACTTTGTATGTACATTATGTATTTTTCCATAGTATTCTAAATTCACTGATTTCCTTTCTGGCTTTATTGTTACGATAGAAGATGCCACAGAACTACATGGTAGTTGGTTCTCTTAGGTGATGTATTACTCACATTGTCTGATTATACTTCCGTTGATGCCATTTAAATAGATACAACATCATGTTTAATACCGATGTTTCGTAAATTAAACATTTATCAACACAATAATGCATCAGCAAGTTTCAAAAATTTGATCCCTTGTTTATGCTGAGCAGTAAGTGACGTAGCCTAAATGAAGAGTAAAAGATGGCACCGCCCCGACAAAAAACGTTTTTAAGATTGATGTAACTATGACTTTAGTACAATAGAAGAAGCACATTAATATGGACGGGCTTTTTAGTCGATCTCCACAGTTTTTTTTCTTCACAACACTTATGTACCCATAAGATGTTTGTGAATAATAATAATAATAATAATAATAATAATAATAAAGCTAGAACAGAGTGGATTGGGAGGAGAAGAAGAGCTCAATAAACAAACAAAATGGACTTAAACTTCATGACGAAAACAATCGATAACTAATCGGATATAGATTACGAATAAAACGATTTGTCAACCACGATTAAAAGTGTAAGTATCAGATTCCAAATCCTTTATATCTATCTAAATCTTTCAGCCTGCCAATTTTTAAGTCGCTCGTCATCTCCTCTACTGTACAGCACTCATGGAACAGACTATCCGTTTCATCTTACATTAAAAAATCTTCAACTTCTATAGCTTACACAAAAACTTTATTCGTCTCTAAGATGTCTATTTTCAATTTGGGTGGACTAAACTCCAACATTATCGACCACGATCAATAAAGTGTACCTACCTCACTAATGGCTGCCGAAAAACTGCTGCTTTCCATACAAAGTTACGCTGATATTAGACAAGTCATAGCTTACATGAAATCTAATACCCAAATTCTCTTAACATTCAAACCATCACCTTACTATTCTGTCATTGCGACCAACCATCATCTTTCTTGGTAATATGATAACTGCTAGTATCCGGAGACCCTACTACTCTGAAACAAAGCCACTGAGTCAAATAACAAGATATAAAAATCCACAAATAATTACTTACCTGACTAGAATCATTGCGGTCAAATTGCCAGATTAACACACATCGAAAATTGTCAAGTACCTAGAATCCTAACGAAATGGCAAGAAGCGAAAGAAAAGAAATCAATCAGTTTATATATTGGATATTAGATCAATTGGGAATTTATGTAGGGCTCATCTTGTGATGCATTACTAGAGTCTTGATTCATATATATAGGAGACTGACGTCATTCCCTGTATTGCTAAGCAGTCGAGATAAACATTGGTTATATACCTAGTTTTTCTATTCGTCTTCCGTGACACGGCGGTAGAAGTAAAGCATACAGATGACCTTGATCGGCCAAAAAGCTAGGTAACTGGTTTCGTAAGAGGATATATGATAAGGAAGAAGTCGAATCACACAGAATAAATAGTTTTGGAATTGCTAGCAAACCTTTATGCTTAATTATTTGTCGTGACGAGTGAGAAAGTGTTAGAATCATTAGTTACGTAATATCAAAACAAACAAAAGAGGGGTAATAGTGGCGAACTCGAGAAAAAAGGGGTATAAATTGTAAGCAAATAGAAAACGTTTTTTATTTTCTATTTGGTGTGGCTTATATTAGGAAAAATAAGGCTATAGCCTTATGGGGATAGGAGAAAAGGTTAGGAAATAGGGTACTTGGGATTAAGGTTTGGATTTACAGCTGGAATGGCTCTGGTAATAACCAAAATGATAAATCAGAAAGCCATTCCGATTAGAATCGAAATTGTTATCAATACTATCATCTTTAATGCATTTGTCTTCTAATGTTTCTTCCTCGAATAGACTAATCGATTCATCATCGTTACGTATGTGTGCTCAATTAGGAACTTCATTTTAGATCATAAAAAATCACAGCGTGGAAGTGATTGGTGCCCAGTATTAGGAGATTTAAATGCACCTGATATAAACTGGGAACTTATGTCCACCGTAGTATCCGATAGTACATTCAGTAGTAGGTTCCTTACGATTGTGGTTAATGGTGCTCTAAAACAGCATGTATGTTAACCCACATCTTGTGGTTCAAACCACACGTCTTTGTTGGATTTAGTGATCACTCGTGAAACCGAAAGTATTACTTGTCTAAATATTCCCACACAGTAGGCTAATAGTGATCATAGTGTTTTGCCATTCAGGTTCAGAGCTTGTGACAGTTGTTTCTAAGGTTCGATCTCTCTGAAATGTATGGAGAATTAACACTTCGGTCATGAAGGATTACGCTGCAGTAACGGACTGGTCATTTTATACTAGTTCGTCAATTGGAGAAGCATGGTCTTTATTGAAAAATACACTTAGCTCAGTTACGTCCTTTTTTATACTATGGTTAAAACGTCGTGGACTTAAAAACTATTCACGATAGATAACAAGAGATCAGGAGTAAACGCCACGATATGTCCACTTCAGACTCTGAATAGTTCGAAACTACTTATCTGAAGACTATGAACACAGTGCTGATAGGTAAGCCGATATCCTCATATGATAAACAACCAGTCTGGGGTTCTCAACATAGTTCCAAAGGGTTGTCCTCATGTACGAAGAGATGAACTCAGAGAAGTAATGGAATATAGTCACTTCCGTCACCCCCAAATACCTTGGTACGGCCGAGAGTGGGTAGAGTCAGCTCTCCCTCTCGAAGTGCTCTCACATGGCCACGTGCATACAACCACTGCCAGGGAAGTTCTACTCACTGCCTCCTCGCGGCGGGGGTGTTTACGATACTGAAAGGACGAAAAGTGAATGTCTGGAGCTTTAACTGGGTTAGTGGGTACGGAGGATCCGCCTAGAGCAGTTGGAAAACCCTGATTCCAAACCAATGGTTCATATGGGCTGCAGGATCCTGAAAAACCAATGACGTATGAATCTATCCTTGTTTGCTGAATGCTGCGGGGACTGTATCTCTTAACGTTGCTCCACTGCCTCGGGCTGGAACTCTAGATCGAAGGCTCGGGGTGTACCCCCCTAAGAAGACCATTTACTTCGGTTTGGGTACCCGGGCAGTGTCACATCCCTCACACAAATCGAATGATTCATGTGGCACGTATCTATTTGATGTCTCCTTGTGCCAATGTCGGGTTTAAATAAGTGAATAAGTAAAGTTGCAGATAAATCCACTGACATTAGTAAGTAATGAAATCGAGAAAACTGATGCCTTGTTAAAATATTTTAGCAGTGTTTTCTACTGACGACGGTGGAAGACCAGCAATTAACTCCAATAACAGTTTTCTGTCGATGGATTCTTTGTTTATTAAGAAGTGAGTTGTTCTACAAGTAATTCAACATCTCGAGTAGGACAAGTCCACTGGTTCTGGTGATATCTATCCTCAAATCATGGCAGCCCTAGCTGATATAATTGCCGACTGACTGGCAATACCCTTCGATATGTCCCTGAAGTTGTCAAAACTACCACGAGACTGGAGAGGTACAATCATTAGTTCAGTCTACAAAACTGGGGACAAATACTTGGTCAGTAACTATCGCCAAGTTAACCTAAATAATATGGTTGTCAAACTAATGTTAGAGATTATTGGGTATACTAATTTAAGTTATGTGACAAGGAATAATCTTTTGTCGAGGGAACAACATAGTTTTACCATAGGTCTCATACCTGACTGATCTTCCCTTTACAACAGAAAATTGAGCTGCAGCAAAACATAGAAATATTCCAGATGTCATTTTTGTCGATCTAAGTAAACCCCTCGGCAAAGTCTCTCATCTAGGTTTTAAGTTAGGACTGGAAAATTTTGGGATTAATTATTGTTAAAGTGGATAATTAATTTTCTCAGTGATATCGGGGTACAAACAAGAGTAGATGGTGCTTTTTATCGTGGGGATCTGTGAAGGGTAGAGTTCCTCAAGGAATAATCCTTATTCTCCCTTTTCTTACGTTGCGCAAATGGTCTACCCAGTCATACAATCACCTATTAATGACAAATATTTCTTTATATACCAATAAGTAGAAAAATTGTATTTCTGACGTTTCATGACTTAATGTAAGGCACTTCTACAAAGTTAATAAATAACCGGATTGAATTCAGTTACCTATTTACTTTGAAGAAGTGCCTTACATTAAGTCATGAAACGTCAGGAATACGATTTCTCTACTCATTGGTCTATAACAGAACATACATTTATTATTAACTTTTCACCCAATGCTCAATTTATTTGAAACTATCAAGTCCAGCCTTGGCATTGGTACCTACATCTATTATTTCGTTTGGGGGTGAAATTGAAGTCTGGATATCCATACAAAGTGATTCTGGCAAGATAGGATTACAGGACAATTTAAATTCAGTTGAACGGGTGAATTGGTGATCAGTAGAAGTAAATTTTGCTCGAGTGTAGTAATTTAAATCGGCCATTACGACAATCTACATAACGCAATAAATGGAATGGGATTACTTTAGGTTTATAATTTTAAAGGTTTGGGAGTTGCAGCTAGAAGTGACTTTCGAACTGTAGGTAACTGCTGTGTTCTCTTCCAGTGGCGTGGTATTATGAATTATTTGTAAGTCATTTCATCATTTAGATAGAGAAATGTTTAGGTCATTATTCCAGTCGTTCGTGAGGCCAGATTTATAATGTAGGGTTCAAGCGACGGGTATTCATCTCAATATAAAGCGTATATGGTAGAATGGATTCAACAACGAGGTACTGAAATGGTGAAAGGTTGCTCTGACCTGCATTACGAAGACAGACTGAGGCGCCTCTATCTTATCGTCGGTTAAGAGGTCATATATTAATAGTTAACCATATACTAAACAATAATTTTGGTTTTAATGTTTTGTTTTCCAACCAAGGCTGATCGCCTGAGAGGTCTTTATAAATTTTAAAAACCGAGATCAAATCGTCTTCGTCTGAATTTTTTACATAGAGTCGTGAGTTACTGAAATTCTCTGACAGTACACATTATCAGCACCTTCTATTGGTACATTTAAATAGAGATTAGATCTTCACATTACTGCAAATCATGAGAATTAACATAGGTCACTTTACTTCTTGTCCTTACTTCTGAAGACTGAGTCACTCAAGTTTGTTCCTACTCTTTAATCTTATACCGTTTGCTAAGTTTATGCGTTCAAGTTACTGAATACTAGGAGGTCTTAGATCCTATGTAACTGTTAATAAGATACAAACTACGTCACCTAGTTTTAGATCTCGCGCTAAAACTCAGCGGCCTTTGTTTTAGATCCGATTGGTTCATAAACATAATATACTTCAAGTAGTACTTCACCTTAATTTTTATAAAAGCAAAACACTCGATGTAATCTGTTGTCAAGTAAAATGCAAAGGACCAAAGTTGATGGCTGTAACAAATATTTATTTTTCATAAAACGTAAGTTAAGGTGTCGTTATTGATCTAGTACAACTTTATCGCTTTGGTTTTGAGCTATGTAATTGTGTGTGTAGAGAATGATAATAAAACTTGTCTACTCAAAACCTGAAATCACGTTGTTGAAAGCCACCAAAATCATCCACCTGAGCTACAAATCTCAAAGTCGAATGTTCAAACCAATATTTATACTACACTTCTAATTATAGGCTATCTAATTTAACAGCAAATGTTTTGCTTATATTCTATTATGTCTGTTCATTTTTCAGTATGTTTTAGAACATTAAACTATAATAATTTGTCATTCAATTCTAAGCTAGATTTGCTAAATTATTTACTCAGTATTTACTTGTATTTTTAGAGTATGAAAAGTGACACAAAAAATTTAATTGCTGGAAGCTTGTCCGGTTTTACTGTCCGTTTTCTAACTCAACCATTAGATGTTATAAAAATTCGTTTTCAAGTGAGTTTTTGTATTCTATGCTTATGTTAAAAACAACTATAATTTAGTTACAAGTTGAAGATATTAAGCCCTCAGGAAAATCATATTACACTGGCCTATTACAGGCATTCATTCGTATTTACAAAGAAGAAGGTGTATATGGTCTATGGAAGGGTCATGTACCAGCACAATTTCTTTCTATTACATTTTGTGGAGCACAAGTAAGTGATAGCATAAAATTAATAGTAATTATCTTTTTACCTTACTGAATATTGTATATAAAATTAAAGTCGATACGTAGATGAGTGTTGATCTTGACAGTTATCGATTGTTGTAGGTTTTAGATTTTAATGGTATGTAAGATGACCAATAATTCAATTGTAAGACAGTAGTAGCTAGTGCTACATATTGATTATTTGATAACAAACCGTTTTTATTAGTGCTAATAATCAAACTATATCTACCATTCTTAATTCAATTGAGGTGCATTATTTTGTGGTTGATACCTAAGTGTTCAGATTTACCTAAAAATGTTCACCTAGTTCTTCTCTTTGGTCAGTAATGCACACTTATTTAACACACTACTCCATTTATTTATATTAACAAAACCGTTCATTTTCAACTCTACTGTTGTAGATGATTATTCTGCAGATTCTTGAGACAAAGATTTCATTTATCTGTAAGGGTTTGTGTTTTCCTGTGTTTTTATGTTCAGGATTGCATTTGATCGATCGCTGCATGTGTGCACCTTGAACAGATGACACGATGTTGTTTACAGGTTTAAGAATAATTTGAGATTCTCCTGAATTAGCAGCTATCTGAAATAATATGTTGACCCTCAAATCTATAAGTACTGGGTTCGCGTCTCACTGTGAACATTATCATTGCGAAACAAGTACATTCAGCTGACTAGTTTCAAATAAGATGAAATGTATGTCTTAAATTCCACTGTTGCCTACAATCTAGAAATGTAGTGAATACTGTGGCAAGTTTATAGCGATACATCAACCTGTGACTGTTAAGCTAAAAAAGTTACTTTTTTATGGATCTCTGTATAATGTAATTGGTCCTTTGGTCTGTCATAACTTCGACACTTTCCTATACCACTTAGAATAAAGGTTTTTATCAAAAAAGCCTACCTTCTTCACTACTCAAGGTTTCTTTATATAAATGTATTACTGTATTTCACTATGCTTGAAATTAAACTTACTTTTCATTATTTCTGGCGAATGATACTCATGAAACCAGGATGTTGATGTTCGATAATCACCTCTTGTTTGTTGTTTAGGGATTATTTCTCTGCCCCATCCGTAGCTGTCACTTTGATGCCTATTTTAATAACTCACCCGAGCTATATTGGCTGGAACACTTGTTCCTATGTCGGGTAGGTCGGTTGGAGAACGGTAAAGCTAGAAGCAGTAACTTAAAGTTCGAAGACGGAGTCGTACTACTGGATATAGAGGAGTGTGATAGCAGTAAATTATCCCCTTCAGACAACCAGCACTTTCAGCTATGCTTTCTTATCACAATGGAAGGGAGCATTTAGGAAAGGTCGAGCCCAAAAATATTACACCTCCTCTCAACCCACGGATTTTCGTCTCCAGAAGTAAGGCTTTTAAGCTACGGAGCTAATAAATCTTAAACTTCTCATGAAAAGAAATGTATGACGAGCTTCAAGGCATTGTCCCCTGGATTCTGTGGTTACGCTCCTAGGTCAATAAGACTACTAACCCAGTTTCCTTCTCATGTGCCTCACGAAGAAGTATTCTTCCACGGTGTGCGCATTCAGAAATCGACATCCGCTCTCATACAGCATAGGAGATTATATTGTTCACATTTTTATTAGTTTCTTGCAAGAATTGCTACTTCTTTGTTATTAGCGAACCATATTTGACACTACTGGCGAAATGTTTTACTAATTAATCATTTTTTCACTACACTTCACATCTAATTCAGAATATTCATCGGAATAGCTAATGTGATGAAACGTAGACAGATAAACTTTTCATCCACATAACAAAAATGGACATAGAACTCTATATGTGTAAAAGAACCGAAATTTGGTTAGTAATCAGGTGCGACATATCTAATTACGGCAGTAGTGTGGCAGTACAAATATTAGTAGCAAACTATTAAGCCGAGAATTATGTGTTTTAGTACGGCGATAACTCAAACTCTCATGTTTCTTTCATCAACCCTATCAGTCTTTGTATTACTTGAAAATACTAATGTAATCTTTTTTTGCAAATAATCTTACATTTTAGTTTGGGAGTTTTTATGCCATTGAAAATTTACTAACCAACCAAATAAATCTTGGCTCATCATCTGGATGGGTGCATGATATGATAGCCGGTAGTGTAACTGGTCTGATTGCGTCTACATTAAGTGAACCATTAGATGTCATGAGGACACGACTTATAGCTCAAGGTAAAAATCAGGTAACCATTTATAGGTTTTCTAAAGAGAATTATTGACTATGTGCTTTACAGTTTTGTTTATAAGGATAGAAAGTTTGTCAATGTGCATGTTGGATTTTTTTAATGGTTGAGATAGATAACAGTAATGTAACTTATTTGCTACGTATAGATTTATGTACTTGGTTTTAACCCATACTATATGTAGATTGATGGGAATACATAACTACCTTAGCCAAATTAAGTAAAAACAGTGGTTCGAAGCTTGTTTTTCTCAAGTGTTTTAATCTTCAATGTGTTAAAGTTGTTTATCTGGACAAAAAGCCACAGTAAAGCAAGCCATTACACGAATATGGATGTTTCAGAGAAATACTTCTAGAATAGTGGATCAGCTTTTTACTCATTTTGAGTGTAACTGTAGTCCTATCTAGCGGTTTTTGAGTAGTAAGAATAATTATTTCATACAATAACTGTAACCTGTATATTAGTGTAAACTTATAGATGGCTAATTCTTTTATTCTTGTTATCATATCTTGTCAAATTAAGATATTATAAAGCCCTAAAATATTGGGATAAATATATGTGTGACTCAGTGATTTGAGCCTTCAACCTTTTTTCGAGATTATTCTCATCCTTCTATTCGGTTAATATGAACTATATGTAAATGATAACTGTACGTTGTATTTCAGTAATATCAGTGTATTGAAAAAAGAATTTATTGCTTACAATACTGGTGACATAATTACTAGCAGTAAATAAATATGGATATTTAAATTTCTTGCCAAACTGAACTCAATGCCTTCAACTGTTTAAGCGAACATTTTAGACCCTGAATTCATTAAACATAATCTGGGGAATAATTTCATTATTTTTACAAATCAAATCAAGATGTTTATCAAAGTTAAGTCGTAATTGAAATACAGGCGAACTGTAAGTCTCAACAAAGAAGGGTCCCCATATGTACATTGTTTTCTTTCTCCATTTAATTGGATTTGCAAAATGTTACCATAGTGTACATTACTACTCAATCAAAGTACCAGGTAATCAGTACCGTCATTCGGTACTTTGAATATTTTCACAGTTATAAATAATGTTTTGAAAACTGTCAGTAGTAAATCAACTAAGTATAGATGGTCTGTTCAGAAAATAATACAGTAACCAAACTACTACAATTTTTTATTAGATTTAGGTGAAATTGTCAGGAAATTTATGGAACGTTATTTATACAGTTGTAATCTATTGAAGATAACAGTTATTTTTTAAAATAGATCAAGGGTTTCTATGAAGGTCGTGAAGACCGTGGGTATGGGGTGAGGTTATGATGATCATTGTTGACGTCTCATGTTGTGTCCAGTGGCTAATTCAATGTTTAAACGATTGCCAGTCACCTAGATTCACGTTATTCTAGCGTGACATAGAAATGATAAGACAGCTGAAGAGTGACTTCAGTAGATTTATGTGAATGTATTGAACAAATGAAAATATTTTGAAGGGAATAAGATGGATTTAACCTAGATTTTCTTGGTTAAAGTTAGTATAACTTCAATGCGAACATTTATTCGACAGATCACTTATGTTTCTTTCTCAGATTTAACAAGTAGAGATAATTTTATGACAGTTGCATGAATGTGAACATATACAGTGAAGTAAATTGTTATTGGTACAAAATAAGAGACCAATGTTTACATGAATTTTTTGTGTGTTTTGAAATGAAGGTTTATTCAGGCTTTCTATGTGTTATGCGTCATCTTATTCATGAAGAAGGATTACTTGGCTTATGGCGAGGACTTGGACCATGTCTTATATCAGTAGTACCACAAACAACTGTTTATTTTACAGTTTATGAACAATTGAAGCGTTCTCATATTTTATTGAAATCAAAAGAGAATATCCCAATGAAGCATAAATCCGCTTCTTTAAATAACGATGTTGGTAAGTTAAACCGATTTTCTTTAATATTTATATATGGTATTACCAAACAGATCTAATGAGAGATTTGTTTCGAAGAAAAACGAACTCAATACAAGAGGTAAATTCACTGTGGAATTTGACTAGTGTGTTCATTTAGTTCCTATTCGTACTCGTCCAATCATCATATATTTCAAGTATTTATCTATGGTTGTATTGTGTCTTTCGAAGTGGTTATCCATACTTTTCATAGTTAAACTATTCGAAATAACCCAAGTTGACATACTTCATTATTAATATAAATCAAAATGACTCTTTCCTGAAAATTGGACTATACGGTAATAATATAAAACACGACAGCAGGCACGAGTTATTTATATTTGTGCTAGAAGTTACAAAGCATTGCATAATACATATACATTGCCGTTAGTTATCCATTTGCATCTTCTGTTGTGTTCTGCAATCTGAACTATCTTCTCAACCGGTCTTCAAGTGTTCTTCCAACGCCGTGCTTTCGATGCGCTAAAAATTCTCACTGTCCGACAAGTGTTGCAACTTCGATGCAACGTTCCAATACACTCGACTTACAAACATCCTTGTGAGTAGTGTCCACTACAACAGTTGTATGCTTTCATTTATTGGAAGGTTCAGGACAAATACCAGCTTAAGACGTGGTTAGCAGTTGCATCCTATGCTTATTCAGTCCATAGAAGTTCAAGATCGAATAACCTTAAGGCTGGCGATTCGAATCCTATCATAACCTAAGTTTTTCAACGTTAGTTATCTCCACTCCACTCTTGTATGTTCTAAACCTAGGTTGGCTATCTTGTTAAGAATGCTTTAAAACTGAACAAAGTAGGAACAGTCGGTTAGATTATATTGACAAAATTTCGTAAATTCATTAAAGAATGTTTAATTATTTCGACTAAAACTGCAGTCAGTGTATCATTACAAGAAGTTAAGACAAAAGTACATTTTGAGTTTATAAGAAATCATTGCATTTAGTTTGAAGTTAAATTTATCGGATAAATAAAGATATTTTAGATTCCATTTGTCATGAACATTGGATTGTTTTGTTTTAATTAGTTATTTGGATTTCCATTTGGGATAGTTTATATAATTACTGATAAGGGTTTGAGCTATCTCATTGTTCACTATTAATGGGTGATAAATAAAACTATATGTGCGCATTAGATTTTAATGTCATGCTCTGTCAAATGAAGTCTACTTTGTAATCAATAGAGTTACAGAAGACATTTATATAATGCTGTGAGAGGTATGAGGGAGATTGTCACTTCCTGGTTACTTACACCATAAGAATACTTCTTGAAGTTATCTGAAAAGAAACCCAAATTATGTGTATGAGTGATCATGACTTTCTGATAGCATGACAGCGGTGCCTGAGGGACAACTGCTTGAGACCGATCACACTGGACTTTATGAGTAGTTTTAGATGTGTTATTTCCATACTTTAGAGGTGACAGAAATCCGACCTTTTTTAAGCCTCCTCTCTCTCTCTCTGTTATGATGAAGTATTCATAAATGTGATTTGTGTTCCGAAAATAGCTGATCAATTCAATTCATTAGTGAGAAATCATAAAATGATTAATACATCTTTTTTTAAAATTACGTATATATATATATCTATATTTGTTTTTAGATCATGAATTATCATTGGAGACTGATCACCATCTTCATCAACAATTAAATTGGTATTTTCCACTTTGGGCTGGTGGATTCTCTGGTCTTTTAGCTAAAACAATTGTATATCCACTTGATTTAGCTAAAAAACGTTTAGAAATACGTGGATTTGAAAAAGCTCGTTTAATATTTGGTAAATTGCCTAAAGATTATACATTATCTACATATAAAAATATTAATTTAACACAATTCAATTCTATTCAATTTTTTGCTTCATTTTATTGTTTAATTGATATTTTTAAAGAATATGGTATTTATGGTTTGTATAAAGGTTGGATACCATCAGCTTTAAAGGCTACATTAACAACAGGTTTAATGTTTTGGTTTTTTGAACAATATAATTTTTTATTATCTTATTATTAATACTACTATTAACTACTTCTACTACTAATACTACTAATAATAATAATAATAACAGTAGTGTTAGTTTCTTTTCTTTTACCGTTTATGATTTAATGTTTTGTGCAATTCTTATTGGGATTCATTTTATTTGATTTTAGATTTCATATTATTTTTGTATTTTTTAGTGAGAAATATATTGATAGTTTATAGTACTACTGATACTTCTACTATTACTACTACTACTTTAGTGAACAGAACATCAGTGGAGACAATCGAATGTATTTGACATGAAATGAAAGAGCATCTCAATAAAATCTGAGAATTATATCGTAAATCGTTAATTTGCTTCCAGGTTTTCAATTGTGATGGTCTAACATCAATTGATTCAAGATCTCAATCAAAAACTTAATAATCTCCACAACTCCTATACTAGTAATCAACATGTGCTCACTAGTGACTAGCTTCGTGAGGGAATTCTCGGAGTTCTAGTGAGAAGCCGTGACCAGTGGAGCTAATCCTTGTCGGGTAGCGACAGTTATCTACCTCAGTACAATGGAAGTTGGTCGCGCAATTTCATGGATTGGTTGATGTTAGAAACTATCACCATTGGATGCCGGCTCAGTGGTCTAATGGTTAAGTGCTCAGGCGCGAAGCCAGTAGGTCCTGGGTCCGAATCCCGCGGGGTGCGGGATCGTGGGTGCGCACTGCTGAGGAGTCCCACAATAGGACGAAACGGCCGTCCAGTGCTTCCAGGTTTTCAATTGTGATGGTCTAACATCAATTGGTTCAAGATCTCAATCAAAAAATTTGCAAAATATCAATCCATCATTTCAAAATTGACTGTTCATGTTGTAAACATCAATTCATTATTTCAGATTTCATTGTTCATGCGTTTTCATACCCATTGCGTTCCGTTCCCGTTCTTTCCTCATACATTCTATGCTTGACCACCGCTATATACTACTTGTGTGGATATAAGTAACCCACACCACACTACTACTGTTTTTCATAATATTATTATTAAACCATTAACTAGGTGGGTATTGATACAATTCTCAAAGATTTAGGCCTAACACTCGTAATTTAATGAAGAATGAATGACCTACAAGTTAATTCCCTTCAATTACATATAACATTTTATCATGTTTATTTTCAGGTCATATTTTGTATCTAAGGCTGTTATTTTATTTCATCTAAAAAGCCCATTCATTTGGCTAGTTGTCTTGTCTTTCGGGACCGTAAAGCGATAATACCGTCTTGTGAGTAGCTATTTACTCGGTCACATTATATATCATTACGTTCATCTATCGATTAGCATTCTGTCCATAAATTTAAACAATAGATATTTCACATCACACAGAAAACACATTCCATAACAGGTACAGATTCGTGTAATTGGTTAGGAGTTACATTAATTGTGAGGATTAGTTGTACTATGCGTTCCCGCAAATTGAAGTAGATGGGGCAGGGTTCGAACCTGTGACTTAGTGACTGAGAATCGAATGCCTTAACCACTGAATGACAACTACAATTTTCTGATAATTTACATACAAAGTTTATATGCTCCAATAGTTTATGTACTAATCAACTTTGAGCTTAGCACTGTTTGCGTAAGGACTATGGATACTACATTGTTTCCAAAAGCTATGTAAGATGCGAATATTGTTAGAGATAGTGTGGGTAATTATCGCATATCGGTCATGCACATCAAAGGAGAATACTTTTTGAGGCACCTGACGAGCAATTCGGACTACAAGTGGTCTTGATGACCTAGGAGCGTGAGTATAACAGTTGTTTGGGACCTGTCAGATACAGCTCTTTTGTCAGCAGATTTTAATGTGTTAGCTCCGTACTTTGCAACCCTTACTGTTGGCACTGGAAATATATGGGGCAAAGAGATACGTAGTATTTTTAGGGATGACACTAACAATTCGTTTAATAATCAGTGACAAAAGTTTTCTCAATTGATTTAGATAAATTTGTATGTCAAATTGCTTTATTGAACATCTCTTCTAATTTACTCTACTCATAAGTAGTTAAATTAGATTAACGAAAATTGAGGTCAGAATTCACATTCAAATGAATTGAACGACTTCAATCCGTAAAGGGCGCTAGTGATTGAAGTAGCGATAATGATTTAAGAATAGTCAGTTATGTAGTCTCTTACGTGCTACTCTTTTGAGCTTCATTTTAAAACGGGTTTTTAGAAATAAATTCGACTTCGAGTATATAAAAAATTTGAGTTTTCAATCTTCCGAGTAGTTGAATAGTTATGCTCTAAGGACTCTGACTGGGGAGTCACAACGTCACCATAAACACTATTCACGTACGCGTTTTTTCCTGCCACGATGGCATGTTATAAAATGATCGATCGGCTTTTTCCATTACACCCTAACATCAGCAATTAATACACGAAATTTATGTCTCTAGGAAGCGATTCGTAACACATGTCTAAGCCACTGAAGTCTATGTTTTTTTATGGTGACACCTTCTGGGTTATCGTCACCATGCCAGAAGATAGTGTTGCTACTGAATAACAACAATCCTTTAGAGCCAATCATGATCAAACACCAAGTGTCACTGAACATATTCACTTTGAAGTTTCCTCTTTTCTAGGCTCAACACAACTCTTTTTGGAACGACAGACGAACTTATATGATTCAATACGAGTATGGAAAGAGTAGCATGTAGGCAGAGGTATAATTCAAATCAAATATGAGCTTGACACCGTTTCTCAATTTATATGATCTAAATACTTTAGTACTTCAAATCTTCAAGTTATAAAACATATGAAACACCACTTATAAATTAGCAATTAGTGGAATTAAGCCAATTTATTAATATCGTTAAACTAAAGTGTCATATGAAATGAATGTAATTGATTTTCTGAATTGTATAGTCCTGCTTTTTAAAATATGCCCCCGTTTTTTGAGAAAATATTCTGTGTCATATTCACTGAAATCGTTAGTCGTTTTAGATATACTTATGAGTAAACAGAATTTTATAGGATATTTCACTATGATAACTTTACCATTCAGTCGATTTCAAGTAGTTTGAGATTTTGACAATTTGAGAATTAATGTCTGCTTTAAAATGTTTTGAATCTAAAATAGGGCATCACAAATAAATTTTTGGGTAATTTTATTAGATCATCTGATACATTTCTGAAAATTTGAATGGTCTTGTTCACCTTGGGGAATACTAAAGTGTTCCATATATCCCTAGAAATTAGTATGATATATAGACTAGTGTTAACTATTTGGTTGACAAGAACCTCGTTAATCAAGATGTTGATTCATTTTTGATTTTCAGTTGCTAAAACACTTGAAAACTATGAGTTTTTGTGCGAGGACGTAGAACGTATTTGTTTTAAGTAAAACATCTTTGTGTTTAAGTTGTCGCATTTGTTTTTATTATACATGGACATGCATTTCCGACAAGCAGTAAAAAAAAGTAGGTTTCTTAATTAATATAGTATAGTTAATAATCGGAATAAATGTAGATAGTGTTTTTCATTTAAAATCCAAACATGAGCTGCTACCTTAATGTGGCGATCAAGGTTATCTATCGTAATAAACCAATCAAGTGTTAACTCTTATTCCCTTAGTATCTATCATGTCAGAGAGGTAGGTTTGAGAACGGTAAGATCAGAAGCGAAAACTTATGGTTGAATATCGAAGTCCTAATGGTGATTATACCGAGGTGTGATAGCAGTAAGGTGTTTCACTCAAACAACCAGTATCCTGTAGTAATGATTCTCACTACGAAAAGATGAGAGGAAAAAAGGTTAATCTTAGAAGTAGAACATCTCATTTGATCCATGGACATCTACTGTCTGAGTTAAGATGATTATAGTAACCAATGGTTGAAGATATTTGATGGTTCAGGGTCGTTTCCACTAGCTCAGATGCATCCAATCTTTATATTGTAGTCGAAAATGAGTTTTATAATGAATTATTGTTACAGAATATACCGTAATTGACTATATAATGTATGTAATAATATGAAGCACGTAAGTTATAGTGGGAATACCAAGATTCTTAAGTAAACTATTCATATTGAATATGAACAAAGAATAATCACATCTAAGTTATGAACATTTAGGGGATCAAGAGTTATTTATATTTTTAGAAGTGGGTTTTGTGGGGCATTTAGTAATTTTATTATTGAATTCATAAGTCAATTGAATCTAAATCACCATGGAACCCCATTTCTGATAACATTCATCATATGCTCACTAGTGACTAGCTTCAAGAAATAGTTTCTGGAGTTCTAGTAAGAATTCCTAACCAATGGAGTTCAATTAGGTCTGTTTTGAAATAGTATCTCACTGAATACAATGGTGGACAATGGCGCAATTTCGTGGATTGAAATAATGCTTCCAAGTTTTTCATGGTGGTCTAACTTTAATTAACTCATGAATTCAACTATAAAATTATTTACATTTAGCTTGTTGTTAACCATTGAAATTACTATAATATCCACAAAACCCATCTCATATTAATCAACATATGCTCACTAGTGACTCGTTTCAAGTTATATATTTTGGAGTTCTAGTGAGAAGCAGTGACTACTGGAGTTCAACCAGGTCTGTTGTGAGATAGGAACTCACTGAAGACAATGGCGGATGTGTTGCTCAGTTTCGTAGATTAGTTCAAGTTAGACATTAACACCTTTGGATGCAGGCCAGCTCAGTGGTTAAGTACTTGCGCGCGAAACCAGTACGTCCTGAGTTCGAGTCTCGAATGGGGCGAGGTCATCGGTGCGTACTGCTGAGGAGTCCCACAGTAGGACACAACGGCCTTTCAGTGTTGACTCATGATCTTAACCATTAAAATAGAAATGGTACATTTATTAATTTATCTTTTTCACATCATAAATGGTAGTTGAATACTATTAGATAAAGTTTACAATACTTATCTTAACTTTATTAAATTTATACTAACAGTATTAGAAATTGTAATTTATAGACAAGACATTCACAATTTATTAAACATTCAATAGTACTTATTGACGTCATCATTACCAAATGAGAAGAGTTTATAATTGTATTTTTCAATTCATGTATAT